ATAAGCTAAAAAAACTGCGCTGCAACTTCTCCACGCGACAAAATTTCTTCTCGCTTCGAATCACCGACATGTGGAACAGCCTCCCCGATGACATCGTTGGCGCTCCAAGTGTTGGCGCTCCAAGTATGAACGCGTTCAAGAACAGACTAGATAAAGCTATGGAAAAATATATGTTTAGATTTGAAATGCCTAGCTCCTTATCGAACCCGGTAGAAGTCTAGTAGCTACTTCAAATTATCGTCAGTCATGAAAAGATCCGGTCAAATGACACGATTTTAGATCTTCTGTGAACAAGGAACGAAAAGGAAAAGAATCGGCGACAGGCCACATCAGGCCTACGCTTCAGCGCCGACATCACTATGTTATGTTAAGGTTGACCCATGAGATGCGCATTTTTGCGGATGTAACTTGTTCTTCGTCTGTGACGTCTTTGATCCCACTGACGTCACGGGCATTGACTAAACACCAAAATGCGATAAAGCCAGTTAACCAATTCGTCGGGGGAATGACGGGATTGTTTACGTTTTTCGATCTGTGACGTAACAAGAAAGCTGAACTGAAAGACGGATGTTCTCGTGGGTTCAGGGGAGCGCAGCCCTGCACCACCAATTTTGTGCACCAATAAGCCCTGAATCGAACGCCTTGGATTTCTCCGGACATCCACCATTCAGCCGTGAACCACTCGGCTTTGTCCTCCTTCGGCCTTGCATAGAACCTGCCGTGCATCACCAGGCCGCGGATGGAATATGACTTCCGGGCATGGTTAAATTACGTAATGTTACGTTCACCGCATCTGAGGTTAGGTTTCAGATAGCATAGTTCTGTTCCAAAATTTATCGTCTTTCGACAAGTGGCCGTTCGACCACCATGGTTCGACCGATGGCTGGTTCGACGCACGGCCTAGATACGGACGGCTTGAGGTGTTGAAGGCTACGTTCCGGAAGGCATTAATCATGATGGTCCATCACAGGCACAGGGCAGTGGTGGTCTGCGGCAGGCGACCCTTTATCAGAATGTGGTGGCGTAAAGCTCGTAATATTTTAAAGCAAAATGATGTCGCGGGCTGGTTACCAACGGATGGCCTAATACACGGCTGATTGGTGGTCATCCGGAATTTTACCGGAAATATGCTAGGCGTTCCTTTCAACTTTCAAGGCTAATTGGTGCACAAATTTGGTGGTGCGCGGGTGCGTACCCTGGTCCTGCTACGTAGGCGTTCCTTTCAGGCTGATTGGTGCAAAAATTTGGTGGTGCACGGCTGCGTTCCCGAAACTCGTAAGAACGTCTGATCAGTCCATGAGGTTTATTGGATTTATTAGCTTATGTTTCGATATGGCTAGAAAATTTCAGCTCCTTGCTGACATAAGCTTCCAAATATTTTTCCTCCCTAGGCTAGGCTTTTCAATCATTATTTTCTCATTGCGAGTTGCGACCATGCCTTCTGGCTTCTCATACTGTAATGTAATCTTGTTAATCATTGTTGTTCTTTCTGAATTCCAAGTAGCCTACTTCTGCACCTTCAAGCTGGTACTTTGTAGTACTTCTTGAAATTCCAAGGTGGAGACTGGAGTAGGAGTACCTACCTACTTTACACTTGTCAGCATTAAAACGCATTTAATGCAGGTGCCACCTATCTGCCCTGACAGTCCTGTTAACTAAACTAGGTATCAATAATTCAAGATCATCTCTCTGTTGCACTTCATTTGACACAACCCTAACTGGGGTCACACTTAAAAGCTGAAGGCACTAAGCCTCACTAAGTCACTTGCAGACTGCAGCCACATCAGACTGATCAGAGCATTCAGAATGCATTATAACATGTTCAGTTGCCACTTGAGTGAAGTGATAGGACAAATGCTTGTTAGGAAAACATCTATCTTTAGGGACATGACTGTAGCTTGCCTGCCATTTCTGGAACTGCGAGATTTCTGCCAGATGAATTACCTCCTAGCTAATTGTTAACAAAAGTCAAAAGTGCATGATTGGGCTGCAAGATTCCAAATGTATTGAAAATTTGTCACATTGGTGCTGCTACTGCTGTAAGATTTTGAAAATAAGTAGGGTAAACGCGGTATATTCCGACACATTAAGGACGCATCGAGAAATGAAAAACTATAAAAAAAACCGTATGCGTTACGTAAGTTCTGTTGCCTTCACATGACTCTCAAAACACTTCACTACGCATCAGCAACGATGATCATTGTCTCTCTTTGGATCTCAATATTTTCCCACTAGATGGCCAAGACCTAGTGTTTTGGCAGTATTTTGACTCGCAAATGCATGACGTCACCATTTCAACCATCAACAAACGCATGGAACTAAAACAAAGCTTAATATAAAGGAAAAGCTGTAGAGGTGACGGAATTACCTACAATGTCGGAATATACCGCGTTTACCCTAGGAAAATTCTGACCCTGCAATGGTGTGCATTGAACCAGGCGCTTGAGAACATTTTCTCTGTATATTTCTAAACCTGTTACCCCTGAATGCCCTGATCCCAATAGGCACTCCTCAATGTCTGTAAGACTGTAATACTGTTCAAGTAATCATCTGTGAACATCTGAAGTTCTGAACACACTGCCTATTGCTAAAAATGTGATTAAGAATGTTAGTCTTGTCCTCATTAGAGGACATAGTGTTAAAGCAGATAGTTTTCTTATTTAGACTCTTCCACAAGTTAATTTTTAAGCCCTATGAATATACCAGTTACCAGTAAACTGAGTGAAGTATCATGGATACATATTAGCATTATCATTCATAAGATTATATTTAAAATATTGGTTTAAATCTTGAGAAAATTAAAAATGAACTGATTCTAAAAAATCTGTGTTCTGTGAGTGTGACTTTTGTCATTATGTCAGAGGAAATTTCATGAAAAAGGTTGTGGACATCTTCATTAATCATTATTTTAACTACATTGGAGTAACAACTATCACATTAAGCAGCCATTTATTCTCCACCCTTAGACAAACTCACAACCTCAAAGCATTACAATCAAACAACTTTATCACAAAATCCATGATGAATTCAATAGGCTGTCAGTCTGTGACATTTTTGAACACGTCAAACTCTAAATGACTGTCATATGCAGTGTGCTGGAGGGATATCTTTTGTTGATCTACTTTCAAATCAAAAATACTGACATTTATTTTACAATTCAAACTCGCATACAAAGAAAGAAGGCTTATGCATGTTGGCATTCCAATTTTTGAAATCACCATGTTCCTATGTAATTGAGGAACACGGTGGCTAAAATATGAGTGACACGCCTTGGACAAGGGTGCTACAGCGCTCTAGCACCTAAATCACTGTAATTTTCTTCACAATTAGCACTAACACAATTGCATGGCCCTTGAATTGTACCCCCCCACCTATCCTCAAGTTTAAGGGGACCGGGCTGCCCCCGGAGAAACTTCTACAGTTATTATCCGATCATCATGAAACTTCACATACATACTTAAAATGTAAAAAGAAAAACATTTTGCTCGTATGAATTTTTCGAAAAAATTGATAGAAAACGTGAAATTCATTTTTAGTTTGTCCAGCCCTGTAATTAAATCCCATAGACATTTGTTAAAGGGCCTAAAAACTGCCCTTCTTTGGGAAGCTGTCACAAAATCATTTTTCGACGTAGAGGGATGATTCTGGCACCGTTGGATGCGTCAAAAAGTAAGCTTTAAGATGAGCCCAAAAAGTGGAAAACGCCAAAATTGAAAATTTTAGCCAGGTCGGTCCCCTTAAGTGGAGCACTCTGGTTGACCTGCTATAGCTAAATGACCAACCACTTCCTGGAATTCTACCATGGGCTTTCAGGTTATTTTTTTTGCATTTTTGGCTATGTTTTTATTCGAACATTTTTCACTGTGGTGTGACAGATTTTTTTTGGCTTGATTTTGAGGCTTCAAGCTCCTACATCCAATTTATAATTAACATTGCTCAGAGTTCATAAATATTGCATGTAGGCTTCCTTCGTGGTCTTGAACAGCTATAACTGTACTGCTCATCCATTGTGACTTTTTGATGCCACCAAGCTTAATCTAGGTACACATGCATCAACTGCCTACATAATTGCCTCATTCATGTCCTTGATACCACATTCATGTCCTGGATGCAGTCCAAAATATTTGCCACACGCACTATATACATCACAGAGTTTAACATAGTTGCCTTGCATTAAGTTAAACGTTCACATATCTTAGGCATCTAATCTGTATAGCACTTGATACTAAAAACAATGATTGGTGGTGTTTTATGCTTATCTGAGCCTCGTCTTGAAGCTCATCCAACATTGATTTTTCATTAGTAAATACTAAATCTAGAATATTTGGGTCTGTTTACCCTAAAAATGGGTTGGCCTGGTGATGTTCTGGATTAAATATTAGTCTTGCACAGACTCCAAGAACAGGGCTGCTCGGTGATTCCCATCTCTTTGAGAGCATTCATCTGCCCAGGCTATTTCTGGATGGTTAAAGTCACCAGCAATCAACATACCTATATGACCTACTGAAAGTCATCCTCTTTTATTCATTGGTAAGAGGCTGTTTAGAACTTTGTCATTATCAGAGGAACTGTTTGTGATCTATACAAGAGGCCTATTAGGAGGCTCTTGCCACTCATGGTCTCATCCTAGTTCTGTTTAGCAACAGTTCTTGAAACCCAACAAATATATATATGCATTTCTGCCATATATATATATGTATATGGAGCCAAGATGGTATCCTGCATCTCTCAACCTTAGAAGCTCTCCTGTTTTGCATCCAAGATCCTACATCTATTCTACCATCAATAAAAACTATCCCCCAGACTAGCATAAAAGTCAAAATGTGAATGATTCATCAGCATAATTATTATGCAGTGTATAATGAGAAATGCCATTCAATTGAAATTTGTTACCAACTGCCACTCTGAACCCTAGACAAAAATTTAATTTACTTTAAAAATTTCAGGCTTTATTAGTCACATTATGGAACAGGGCATTTTATCAGCTGACTAAAGAATTGTTTTGATTATTCTATTTGAATAAAGAATTATTCTAATATCAATCTCCCATTGAACAATGATTTATCCACTTTTTTCCAGACTCATTTCTGTATATTTTTGTTCAATATGTCATCACTGCTAGGCTTGCAGGCTTATGGTAGTGATGAGGACATGAGTGGAGATGAGGTTAATGAACCTGAAAAATCATCAGTTGATCAAGAGACACCTCAGCACCTATTGCCTCTACCCAGTAACTCTCTTCTCAGTAAAAGAGTAGAAATAGCACCCGTTGCAATACCTACTGTAAGTATTAGGCTCTTCAACAACCTCTTTCTTGTAACCATAAGAGTACCTACTTGAACTGATAAAACCTGGGATAGAAAATTCGTCTCAGATTTACCTATTATATTGAAATCCGGTTGCTCAGGATAATTAAATTACATCATGATGTTGCAGGATTTTTCATTACCGTATTTGATAATTAATTATTTGAATTAATTTATAACATTAATTTTGAAACAAATAAAAAATATTCAAAAGAATGTTTTTCCTTATGAAACTTAGTTCTCAAAATGGATTACATTAATGCTTCCAGGTTTATGTTGTTAGTGAGCAATTTTGAAAAATTCTCATGGTTGATGTTGCATAGACTGTAGTTGAACTTTGAATGTGCTGCAAATTTTGTCTTACAAAAATACATTTATATATGTATATAATCTAATCTCTGTACATTTTTGTATTGCAGAATAATTTGGATGACCGGCTGCACATAGACCCTCTGACCAAAGAGCTCTCCTACAATCCTCGGTACGATGTCCTGGCCGCCCCTGTGCTTGGTCCTGAGCTGCCTAATCAATCTGCCTTCCACAAGATGAAGCGCAACATGCTTTCTGGCTTTGCTGAGGCTGCTCATGTCTCTGATTTTGAGTTTGAGAAAGAACGAAGGACCTTCACTTCTTATGGTTTGTAATTTATTTAGTGGATGAACTTCATTGTAATAATGTACTATGACTGAATAGTAGTTTCATGATATTAATAGTTGAGAAACCAAACATGGTTTATGTCTCAATCTCGTGAGTCAATAAATCTCAGTGTAATTTCTTTATGGTGTTTCATTTGAGTATAGTACAATAACTAATTGTTGTAAGTAATACCACAGTAGTAAAATAATTTTATTCATGTTTTTCCTTGAGTCTGATTCATAATAATTTAAATCTCACTGATGTGAAATTAATTTTGTATAAAATTCGCTGTCCTGTTTAGGTTATGCTGTGGATCCTTCCATATCAAGTGATCCTGGAGAAGGGCTGAAGATGGTCGGCGACACAGCAGCTGCTCGCAAGTCTGACAATGTTTCTGTGTTTGAATCCAAAAAGCGATATACCACTGAAACAAAGAGGAAGAGAGATTCAAATTCTGACCCCACAGACATTGATGGCTTCAAAGGACCTTGGGCCAAGTATGAAAACGAAAAAACAGTGATGTGCCCAAGCGAGGAGGAGAAAATTCAACTTGATGAAATTCTAGCCAAACGTCAGAAGCGCGGCAAGCAGACTGATGATAAAATCGAGGAAGAAAAGACTTTACTTCATCTCAGAACTGCCTCTGATTATCAAGGACGGTCATTTTTGCATGTGCCTCAAGATGTTGGAGTCAATCTCAAGTCAGACGAACCTCCTGCCAAATGCTTCATGCCCAAGAAGCTTATCCATACGTGGAAGGGACATAATAAAGGTGTTTCCGCCATCCGATGGTTCCCTAAATCTGCTCATCTTCTCTTGTCGTGCTCTATGGATACGAAAGTCAAGATATGGGAAGTTTACAACGAGAGAAGGTGCATCCGCACCTACATGGGTCACAAGCAAGCCGTGCGAGACGTCTCTTTCGACAACGATGGCAAGAGGTTCCTGTCATGTGGGTATGATCGCTACATTAAACTGTGGGACACTGAGACTGGCGAATGTATTTCACGTTTTACAAACAGAAAAGTTCCGTATTGCGTCAAGTTTCATCCGGATGAAGACAAGCAAGACTTGTTTGTTGCTGGAACTTCAGACAAGAAAATTGTTTGTTGGGATATAAGAACGGGGGAAATAGTTCAGGAGTACGACCGTCATCTTGGTGCGGTAAACACCATCACATTTGTTGATGAAAATCGTCGTTTCGTATCCACTTCAGACGACAAAAGTTTGAGAGTGTGGGAGTGGGATATTCCAGTCGACTTCAAATACATTGCAGATCCCACGATGCACTCCATGCCCGCAGTAACGCAGAGCCCCAACAAGAAGTGGCTCGCGTGTCAGAGCATGGACAACAAAATCGTAATATTCTCGTCGCTGGATCGCTTCAAACTGAACCGCAAGAAGACGTTCACGGGTCACATGGTCGCTGGGTATGCCTGCAACCTGGACTTCTCTCCCGACATGAGCTACCTCATCTCAGGAGACGCCGACGGCCGAGCTTACGTGTGGGACTGGAAGACCACGAAGCTGTACCAGAAGTGGAAGGCACATGACGATGTCTGTATCGGCATCTTGTGGCATCCTCACGAGACGAGCAAAATCGCCACAGCTGGTTGGGACGGTCTCATCAAGTACTGGGATTAACTTATTTGTAACAACTCCGACGCTAATAACGCTAAATTCATCCCGATATCTTAAATCATTTCAACATTAAAAATTTTAGCAATTTTGCTTATAATCATGCTGATTAGCTGGGGATGTTCGTGTGATGTGCCGTGTTATTTAATAAATGACATCTTTCTGTGCATCCTCCAGCGATTTACTGATGTCTCCTCCTCAGATGCTAATATCGCACATAACACACGTGGAACCACCTATGAGAACACTTAGGCCATTTGATGTGTGTGAATGCCACACTTTTTATTTGAAAGTATAAGAATGAAGTCGGCTCGTCATCATTAGACAAGAAAATTGCTTTATCTATGGAGTCGTATGTTTGTTTGCCACCGAAACTCTTTCTACATCTTATTTAATTATACAGGGTTCTATTGGATCTTTAATTCTATTAAACTGAAATTTTATCTACGTATTGATTAACCTTTCGTCATTACAAAATTTTAATTCTTGAGGAAGCTTAACCTCGGATTCCACTCTTACATTTCGTCGCATCTCGATCACGAATTTTTGTTCCAGTCCTCATTTCGTCGTCTTAGCTGTACTACCCTTCTTCTTTTAAATTTTTGATGTTTATTCTAGCTGACCCATGTAGCTTTTTTCTAGACCCATGTAGCTTTACGTCTGCAGGGGGTTCAGTTATTACAGCAGCTGCAACAGCTGTACTATCCTGTCATTATTCACCTACGTCCTACAAGAACAAAATTCGCTTAGTAAAAGCTGGGCAACAAGTTAAACAACGTAGGTACTGAATTTCACTGCACTGGGAAAATTTTTGTGATTTTGCTTTATGATGTCAACATACGATTTGGAATCCATTTAATATTGACTGGGAATTGTTTTGTATAAAGATTCAATAACTGACGTAAATTTGACTGCTAATTGCGATTTCGTCATTAAGAGAATAGATTCGAGAATAACATCTAGACAAAAAGATTTGCCTCATGATTTAAAAGAAGAAAAAATTTGTTGCTGCTTGAAAAGTTCTTTCATTTCTCCAATGCATAATAAATCTAATCTAATTGAGAATTGCGGCTACGGATAAAGAACCAAATAACACGAATGCTAATTGCTTCAACAATTATTTTCTGAATTGACCACTTGACGCAGTTAGCGTCATGTAGTCGTGCTTTGTGAGAGGTCATCTCATCAGTGTCACGAATGTAAGGAGAGGGTGAGGTTGTACCGCTCCTGCGTTTTCTGATACGTTACTCGTCACCGGTTGTTTACAGTAAGTTCGTCGGTAAACAACTGTTAGTTGGTGAATTCATATGCCTTGAAAGTCTTTATCTATTCACTGCTTCATTTTTAAAATATTTTGCGTAATAAATAAACATTAAGTCTGATTCTGTAATATGTACGACTTGGAACTTAGGAAGGTGGTTCCCGGTTACCTTGCTGTGAAAGAAAAATGTTATACTAGATCCATCTAATTTACAAGCAAGTTGTAAATATTGCATTTTATGTACTAGTTAGTTGTTCATAGAATCTTTTGATTTGGAATAAAATCAGAAATAGTGATATGAATGCCTTCTTATTCAGATAAACTCTATTTTGTTGATCATCATTACCGCTTCTCTATTTCAATTCCTTACTAAATACAAAATACATAATTTTGTATGCGTTGGATATATATATTCTTGCTGAAAATGTCCATATTGGCGGCAAAAAAATTGAAGAAACGAAAACCGAAGTTAGGCGTGGAACTGGCTCGATACTTCCTTCGCCCATGCCCAGCTCTGCTGTCGTCAGAGCATCCCTGGGCTTGCGTGTAGCACGAATTGTCTACCGGTACGTGCTTTGCCAGACGTGTTATCAAAACCGAGGTAAACTGCTGAGACTTGAAAAAATAATTTAATAATAATTTTGATCCTAGATTTCGTATTCGACATCATCAAAACCGCCGTAGCTTCAGCGCACGTGACACGTGTCTTGAACATGTCCGACGACCTACTTCCGCTTAGCATCCGACCAGAAGTTAAGAATTAATACATACCCTGCAGCAGTGCATTAGTTTTGCGGCGTTCCGAGTTTTGGACGCACATTTTAGTGATGAAGTTGTGAAAGAAATTTCCCTCTACCGTTTTTTTCGCACTACTATCGGTCCGATTCGGTCGTTGGTGAATAATAGCAAAAATATTTAGTGATACAAAATATATAAATATAATATATGATATTATAATAAAAAATTAATATTTTTTGTCATTTTCCCAATTAAATAACTATAATCATAACCGAAAGTTGATGCTCTAAAAGCCTAAAAATTCACAGTATATCAGCAACGAGTGAAAGTCTTATTTCGAGGCACACAAATCGCAGTACCGTAACTTGTGTTCCGTGCGTTTTAGGAATGAGTATATAGACTGTACGCTACTTTGGAATCTTGCTAGAAATTCACACCTCAAAATCAATCGCATTCGACCTTGCTTGCTCCTTCTCTTAATGGGGGTTTGATGCCGATGGCCTCAAGTTGTCTAGATTTAGCGTAATTGTGTAATGTGATATATGCTATTAATGTGCTTGTTCGATGCACGGTGGCTTCTGTAGTAAATTATTATGGCAAACCGGCGTTGCCCAGGATAAAAAATCACAGCCCTCTCGAATGTTATCTTGAACTTTGTCATGCCGAATACATTTAATATTTTTTGAAATGAAGACACGTTAATCGAAAAATTCCAGTTTAAACTTACGTTTAGCTGGGAACTCATGCACAACTTTTTTTAATTTAATTTTAAACTTAAATTAGGCTTGAAAGACGCAAACTTTCGAACATATTTAATCGACGGACGTTACTCAAAACTCAAATTTTGTTTGGGCCTGTTCATCAATGAGTCGCTCAGTTTTCGATTCTCGAAGAGCCGATTCAAGTTAACAGTTGTACATACTTGAATGCAACCTTATGTGTTCGCACGATTGAAGTTGCGTTTTAACCATACGTTCGACAAATCTTAACATTACAGTATAAATGGTTCATTATAAATTTGTCCTCCGTGCAGTGACGGCTGGCGTACGTGAAAAGGAATGGCCAGACCATCGCCTTTATAGTTGTAATCTACATCTTTATCATCGCGACACTCGGACCTGAAGATACGTACGACGTTACGAGGCAAGACAATAGATAATCTGCTTTATTGTGACATTCGACCTCCAATATTGTTTATGATTTTTCTGTGTATTATTCTCTACCTACAATTTTCGTGTCAGATTGTTGCTATTACAAATGCTACATTAATAATATCCTATCAATTTAATTTTTTTATGTATTCGTAGAATCCATATTCATAATTTTTAAATATTTGACTTGAATAACGAATATATTCAACGATGAAACGTGCCTGTACACTGTTCGTACGCTTAGGTAATGAATTAGGGTTTAGGTTTATCAATAAATTTTTTTATATATTCGTAGAATCCATATTTATATTTTTAAAGATTGACTTGAATAACGAATATATTTAACGATGAAACGTGCGTGTACACTGTTCGTACGCCTAGGTGCAGATTGACTTGAATAACGAATATGTTCAACGATGAAACGTGCGTGTACACTGTTCGTACGCCTAGGTGCAGATTGACTTGAATAACGAATATATTCAACGATGAAATGTGCGTGTACACTGTTCGTACGCCTAGGTGCACCGCGGTATCACAGATGGACGAGTTACTGGAGGCGCTCGAGGAGCAGATCATCGTGCCTCGCAGCGCCGGCACCTACGCTGCCGAGCCTCTCACTGCGCCGCCCCGTAAACCTGACCGCGGCTTCAAACAGGTGAGTAGTCCTGTATAATAATATTCTTATATCATAATATTCCTATATAATATTATTGATATGTAATAATTTTTATTATATAATAATATTTCTACATAATATTATTGCTATGTATTAATTTTTCTTATATAATAATATTCCAATACAATATTATTCCTATATAATAAAAATCTTATATAATAATATTCCAATATAATATTATTGATATGTAATAATTTTTCTTATATAATAATATTCCAATATAATATTATTGCTATGTAATAATTTTTCTTATGTAATAATATTCCTAAAAAATAATAAATATTTCTTTGGGGTAAAGCGACCTATTTGAGTTCGTGGATGTCTGGGTAGTTGATGCATTTCTGCCAAATACGGCCTGGGCAGCTCAAAAATGTTCAATATGTTTTTCCGCTTTTTTGGACATTTTTTATCTACAGACCACGTAAGAAAGAGGTTATGTTTCGAGAAGATGTATTCCGAGTTCATGAAGTAACGATGCGAAGAAACGGTTGCTAATAAAATCTAATAATTGTACTCGTATCGTTGTACTGCTCAGGCTGACAGCTATTGGATTTTCATTTTCTGGGAGAGTGATTTATTGATGTAAGCAAAACTACAGAAAACGCTATCAACCGCTGCAAAGATCAAACTGAACAACTTTTTAAAGAATTTATTCAGCAGCAGTATACCTGGAATGTCAAGGTTACCACACATGTGCGGCACAGTTGTGCTACATATTTTTGTAGTGGGTTGTTGTGAAGCACACAAGTGTTCACTTGCTGGAGGCTTTACTTCAATGTAGTGGGTTAGCATGAAGTTCTTTGCTCTGCTGACACGTAAAAGGGACTTTGAACGAATACATGGTCTATAGTGTACAGTCTACACTCTACCGGGACTATCGACAAAAATAAAATATAATATCCAACACTTACGTCTAACAAAACAAATATATGATTTGTAAATTGTAATGCCTGAATTTACATCCGTAATTTTTTCGGATTCGATTGGGAATTGTGATTCAGGATTTGTGCGTGGCTTTTGCTTAAATTTAGTATTTTTCGAGTATCGCTTCTGTTTGTTTACTGAGTTTTGGTTTCGCAAGACATGGCGAGGTCTGCTCATAGTTGTAAATCATTCTTTTTGTATTGCTTTGATGCCCACACAACAAGCCTTTGTTGACTTGCGAGGTTTACTTGAGACTTGCCGCTTCATGCGTGGGTGCTATGGCAGTAATATCATTAGTATATTGTGATGGTATTTGGGAAACAGTATTACTCGTTGTTAGATAATTACAATCAATGAAACATATCTGTAATAGCCTGAATTTGTTACTAATTTGTCACATCGACAGGGTTTAAAAACTTGTATTTCTGGATTAATATCGCCTTTTAAATCAGCCATGTCAACTGAATGACGCTTTTATCAGAACTACACTAACATATTAAACTCAGTTCAACTGGAAGTGAGCTTTCTAAATTTGCCTGCCTTGTCGTTCTCACTCATGACAGCGCTGCTGCTGTTGCCAAGCAAAGGATGTATTCGGCTGGTCTGCAAATCTCGGCCCACCGTCCGCGTGGCCTTGACGCTCGCTCAGTTTAGCTTGTGTGTAGAAGGAAAGTTCAGCTTTATATGACTGGGCTGTGGGTGCCTCAGTTGTTGGCAGGACGTCGAACTTGCCGCTGCCTGTGACGTGCTTAGGGCGGCGCACGACAGTTAAACTTGTTTACATCTCATGACGATCAAACTCGAAGACAGGGCTCATGCTGAAATTCGTACGTAAGCTGAAATTTGTACTGATTCTGAAATTCGTACGGTGCTGAAATTCGTACGACGACAGTTAAACTTGTTTACATCTGATGACGATCAAATTTGAAGACAGGGCTCATGCTGATCTTTCATACGACTAATTCGTACTGATGCTAAAATTCGTACGACGACAGTTGGACTTGTTTACATCTTACGACGATCAAACTCGAAGACAGGGCTCAAGCTGAAATTCGTAAGACTAAGTCGTATTGATGCTGAAATTTGTACGGTGCTGAAATTCGTACGACGACAGTTGGACTTGTTTACATCTTACGACGATCAAACTCGAAGACAGGGCTCATGCTGAAATTCGTAAGACTAATTCATACTGATGCTGAAATTCGTGCGATACTGAAATTCGTACGACGACAGTTAAACTTGTCTACATTTGATGACGACCAAACTCAAAGACAGGGCTCATGCTGAAATTCTCACGACTAATTCGCATCTGTGGTATCACTGGCCGATGGATCAAATAGTTTAACTGAAACCACTCAATGTCTTAGCAAAAGTTTCCAGTCTTCCTTGTAGTACTGCGAAGTATTTGTCTCTACGTTATGTTCATGAAAAGAAAATGTTTCCATCTTGCATTCGAAACAATCCATAATCTACAACTAAGTATATGGAAATTCTACGAACAGCTTACTTTTCAGAAGGATTCTAATGAAGGTTATAGAGACACTTTGCAAGCAAGTATAGAACTTATTTCTTAATATAAGGTGCTAACCAAACGGCAACATGTTTATCATGCCCTTGCTGAAGTTAGTATTAATTAGAGAGAAAGTACAAATATTTTATTTTCGCCGGGCGTTCTGCAGGGTCATGACGTATATTGTACTGAGTTTCGTCTGTCCCACTGCACGCTGTCCTTTCATGCTCCCGAAAATCATGATAAAAAACTTTTCGTGCTGTGTTTTTTTTATGCACATATTCCCAGTTTCTTAAATGAAATGTAGATATTTATGTGGAATTTTAGAATCAAGTACGATGCATTCCATATCAAAATGTAGCAACGACACAGACTATTTTTAGTCTTGACTAGGATTTACTGTGACACGTCTTGTCCGTAACTTGAATTGGTTTCAGAATTTGAATAATGCTTTTATCTTCTCATAATTCGATACGACGCTAATGACTTTAATCCCGGACACCACATTTAAATTAACTATTCATTATTCCGCTATTTAGTTTAGCCCTCGCCTTGTTTGAAAATAACGTTACTTTAGATTTGAATCATTCACTTCCCGATTAACTCCAGCAAATCCTAATCAAGACAGAAATGCTCATAAATGACGGGAAGTTTTCGAACAGACAGTCACAAGTGTCAGAATTGAGACCACAATTGGCAGGATGCGGTGCATTATGCCCCTGTCCCTGCTGATGCTACTTATAGGCATACGCACGACTGCTCGCTGGGTCACGCGTGCTCTCAACTATAAATGACGTTATATTTCTGAATAGACTTGATACGACATATGTTGTTTGTTATTTCAACTAACTGCTGAGGTGTGAGTGTTGTGGTATTGCAACATATGCTTAGTGAGATAAGGAGCTCCCATATTTCAGATTACTAAATAAGAAGTTTCGTTATTCTAACTTATCTCGTATATAAGAAACTTCGTTATTCCCTTTTAGTAAATAAGATGCTTCGTAAATTTTTGCTTACCAAGTCAGATGACTTGTTCGTCATGACAAAATAATAACTCTAAAGCTTGCCATTGAATTGTTTTTTATTTGGAATGACAATTTCGTACATCACTTTTGCCGTATATATTCTAAAAGACATGAAAGACTGAGGGCGCGCAGTGATATTTAAATTGTTATAGTCTGTGTTCTCGCGTTGATGCGACCACGCACATGAGTAGCATGTCTGTGGTGTGTGTTTACTGCGAGGACGATGAAATATTCTACGCACGTAGAGTATGTGATGTAATTTGATAGTTTATTCCTACGCAGATTTTCTCACATTACTTCCTTACTTTACGATCCCTTGTTTTGAACTTGAAACCACCTATACCTACTAAGAGCCCAGATCTGTTCATTCAACTTAAGAAGCTAACATCGATGGATGAGGTACGTTACTGAATTTGCACTCAGTTTGTTTAATGTTATTTATATAGTTTTTGTTATGTAAGAATACATTGTACGGTGAGTTTACAGGCAACCTTTACTGCGCAACGTCATGAACGAAACAACAGAATTGCGACTTCATTCTAAAAAGCGGTGTGTTCTTTTGTTTAGAATTAAGTTATTAATGCCAGCAACTCATTTTATTAACGATTGAATTTGGCCAAAACTTTCATGTGTTAATGCACAACTAAACGAGAATATGAAATTTCTTACGCTAATGCTAATCGTTATACGATCTCGAAGTGATCTTCAGAATTTCAGTTTAAAACTTTACTGTAAACGAGTATTTTATGTACATTTTCTCAGAGTAATGGTCTGGCATGCCCCTGTTATCGCCTCACCCTCGCATCTTTCTTGCCTGCGGGCCATTTGCCGGCAAGCGCCCGTCTTGTGCCTACCCGTAGTTAAGATACTCTTATCAGAAAAGTTTTCACTAGAACAACTTCCTCGTTAGATAATTCTTATTAAAATTTAGTAATGTAGCGTCTTTTAGTACAGCGTTGTTACCAAAAAATTATTTTCCTTCCAATCTTCGGAACTGGTGTAGTTCTATCAATGTACATCAATAGGAATTATTCAAGCAAGGCATCAGGTTTAAAGGGTTTTAGATAAGATGAGGGAGGCTTCAGCCGTACAACTCTAAGTTCTCGACATTCAGAGCTTTCGTTGGAGTCGCGACGGTCGGAACACCACGAGCTTGCTCCAGTTTATGTTCAAAATTTTAAATAAATTTTTGCTCAAATAAATTCCGTGTTTGGTCATATAAAATAGAGAGACGATTATTCTGCGGCTGACAAACGTTAATGAACAACGCATACAAACGTCAGGGCTTTATTTAAAAGTACAGTGGGAGCTTGACAGAAATTTTGTTAGTTGAACAAATCGATGTTACTTGGTATTATGACTAACGCCGATTTACCCGTGAAAAAAATTCCTCTCAGAATCAAGGTACTCCCAAACTGTTGAAGTGAAGAAAATTTCACAATACTGCATGCTTGAAAGTAATAACACTGATGCAATTACATTTCAAAAATGCACGCAGGAAATCCTGATGAAATGTTTAATTTATTATTACGTATTTGCAGAGTGCCCAGAACCGTATTTTGATCCGCGGTATTAAATTTTAACCTATTATTACGTATTTGCAGAGTGCCCAGAACCGTATTTTGATCCGCGGTATTAAATTTTAATCTATTATTACGTATTTGCAGAGTGCCCAGAACCGTATTTTGATCCGCGGGGGTCGCGTGGTCAACGATGATCGCATGCAAGATGCCGACGTGTACATCGAGGACGGCGTCATCGCGTGAGTACGGCGTCCGCCTTGTGCTGCTTGATTAACTGTGAACTTTATTGATGATTATCTTGTTATTATGAACCTATTTAGTATGTTGGATGATAATAAGACTAGAGATTATCTCATTAATTGGAACGCATTGGCACTTTGGATCGCCAACATGTATTGCCTGTCGGCACCCGCCTTGTACTGCTTGCTGAACTGTGAACTATATTGATAATTATTTTGATAATTGATAACTATTTTTTCATTCTTTGTCTATTGTGAACTTATTTAGTATGTTCGATGATAATAAGAATAGTGATTATCTCATTTATTGGAACGCATTGGCACCTTGGATCGCCAACTTGTGATGTACGGTATACAGTATTGCCTGTGTTTTACGCATCAATATGTTTCTAGAGCTCGTTTGTTGAACGGCAGTATAATTTACATAGAAGATGCGAGATAATTAACTGCCCTCAAGGGCTAAGCGGCTGAGTGGTAAAGTTAACGAACGTTCACTGGGCAATTCTTTTAAGAATAAATATTAAATTTTCACTCATTATCTCATTTTGATTTTGAATTTCCATTTGTTCGTGAATGCCGAAATCTCATTGTAATTTGTTCCGAGTGTTGTTTGCAGTGCTCTGGTTGTTTCTCTCCTGTTATTTATCCTGGTACGTACTTCTCTATATTTTCTGCTTGGTGCGTGCGTCATTTTTAGCCCTCTACCACCATATGTCACTCTCCTGAAACCTAACTTTCAACTTAAATTATACTTAAACTATTGAGTGTAGCAACCTGAGGACGTTTGTACGCAACAGAGAACATTTTAAAGTTGTCGTACGTAGCTGCAACCATCAGTGCAAGTCATTTTGCGCTCACTAGAACGTATCCTTTTCGGCTAGGCTTGTGACAATATTGCTCTGGTTACTCATGTTACTAATGTTATTAATATTATATTATATTATATTATATTATATTATATTATATTATATTATATTATATTATATTATATTATATTAGTAATATTAATATACTACTAATATTGCTCCGGTTACTCATGTCAGGCGGTAGAGAGTTAAGAACATTTGCGTGTGTTTTGTACGCAGGCAAATCGGCAGCGATCTGCACGTGCCCGGAGGCTGTCGGGTCATCGAGGCCAAAGGCCGCCTCGTCATCCCCGGTGAGGCTAAATTTTTTTTCTATTTTACAGGAGGCGCAAGTAATTGTTGTGTACTTCGTTTTAAATATTTTATATATTAAATATTTCAATTGTCAAATTTTAAAAATTATATATTTTAATTGCCAAAGTCAATGAAAGTTGAGCGCTTGCTTCTATTCATCTGAATCTGAAACTGCAAGATAATACTGATAATTATAATAATGATAATAATAATTCACTCCTAGAAGTGAAGGCTAATTACGATAATTCTTTCTAGTTTGTAAGTTAATGATAGTATTTCTATGATTAAGTTTACTCAGCATAACTGTACGTTTTACTATAATTTTGTTTAAAATAATTTGAAATATTTATTCACAAAATACATATTAAAATTAATTAAAAATATTAAGTGGAATAGCACGATCAGTTGTTTTTTGTGTATTGAAGTAGGGAGGCTTGAAGTTGTTATTAATTAGTTGTTATTAATTGAAGTTGTTATTAATTATTAAATTAATTATTAAATTTAATAGCAGTAAATTTAATAATAAAACGATTTGCATCAATTAATGAGAGTGTAATGTAATATTTCAGGCGGTATTGACACTCACACGCACATGCAGCTTCCCTTCATGGGCACCTCTGCCATAGACGACTTCTACACCGGCACCCGAGCCGCCCTCGCCGGCGGCACCACCATGATCAGTACGCTCACTATGTTTACGCTTATCATTCGTAACTATATTAGTTATATTACACCGCTTAGGATTTGTATTTATATTAATTATATTAAATACATAAGACTATAATTTATGTTCGCCATAGACGACTTCTACAGCGGCACCAGAGCCGCCCTCGCCGGCGGCACCACCATGATCAGTGCGCTTACAATGTTTACGCTTATCATTCGTAACTATATTAATTATATTAAATACATAAGACTATAATTTATGTTCGCCATAGACGACTTCTACACCGGCACCCGAGCCGCCCTCGCCGGCGGCACCACCATGATCAGTGCGCTCACAATGTTTACGCTTATCATTCGTAACTATATTAATTATATTAAATACATAAGACTATAAGACTATAATTTATGTATAAATTATAGTAAATACATAAGAATTAAATACATAAGAAATCTCTTGAAATCACATACGAAATCATTATTACATTATTTATAAATTTTTAATTTAAAACGCGTTTGAAACAGCTTAACTCAAGTTCAGTAAGTCATTATTTTATTACTTATAATTTAAATGTGTATAACACAGCTTAACTCTATGCTTTTCAATCAAAATTGCATAATTATAGTCAGAAGTACGGTACATTAGGTTGTGTTTGAATAGAACTAATAATTATACGGCTTCTCAAATGTTGCTAGAAAGTTCCAGTTTGTTTCTTTTCATACCCTGAAACATTTCTGTTTGATGCCGGCGACATAAGTACAGAGGCGATTAGGTTGTCATTTACAGAGTTTTTGAATAAAGTTCCTTCTTTTTACAGTGAAGTCAGTGATTTAGTGAGATAATCTTGAAGATTTTAGTCAAAACTTCTTTTTTTATCTCTGGTAATTGTTATTCTTTTGTATTACGCTTCGATAATAGGGTAAACAAATTCATGTCGTGCAGACAAATGGTAGAAAAATGTCTTGTACGATGATTGAAAAAATCTTACGTAGACCAGGGAAGATTTGTCCTCGTAGCCGTGGATCTGAAACTGCCAAGTTAGAACGAAAGTTTTGCTGATTCATTATCCCCAGGATTATTGGAAACATGAATAATGTTGTAGATTTACATGAATTTTTCACGATGGCAGTGGACTTTGTTCTGCCAAGCCGTAACGAGAGTCTGGTGGAGGCGTACCACAAGTGGAGGGCGTGGGCCGACCCTAAGGTCTGTTGCGACTACTCCTTCCATGTCGGGGTCACCTGGTGGGGTCCTAAGGTAATTAGGCTTAGGAATTGATTGCAAGTGTTGCAAACGTCTCTTGCAACACTTAGAACATCTCCATTTTGGCGTTAAAGCGTCCATTTTGGCGTCAAGTTTAAAAGTACATAGTGTGTTTCGTCTGATGTGGAACAGTGTCGAATTGCTGATAAGGTTGTCCATTGTGAGATAATATCTACTTTTGTGTTTGGCTGTTGTGTTTGTTTAGCTGTTGTACCTCTTCCTTAAAAGGACGAAGACTATTTATTTTCAGTTTTTTAGACACACAAATGGGTGACATAGCAGGTTAGTAACTAAAACAAAAGTCATCACGCATAAGAAATCTCTTGATGTACATGCATCCAGGTGGCGAACTAAATCTAAAGGCATCACCTAAGAAATCTCTTGATGTACATGCATCCAGGTGACACAGGAGATGGAGGAGTTGTGCCAGGTGCACGGTATCAACTCCTTCAAGATGTTCATGGCGTACAAGGACGTCTGGCAGCTGAACGACACTGAGCTCCTGCACGCTTTCGACGCCTGCAAGCGCCTGGGCGCGCTGGCGCTCGTACACGCTGAGAACGGCGATGTCATCAAGGAGGTCAGTTCTAGGGACGCTGATTAGACTATTTTGAGCTGGACTGAAAGGTGGAATGACATTAAGCTAAATGGAAGCGGTGTTTTATGAATATATACCTATTTGAAAGCTTTATTTTATTCGTTACTAATAAATTTTAGCTTCTATTTTTACACAACCACGATTCAATAATCAGTATTGTTGAATGTTTGTGAGCGTTATATTCTAACAACTTACCATTTTCTAGGTTTGACATTTGTTCAGTGCTGTCAACTTAATCGTCGCTCTCCGCTGCTTTATTTGAACGCTCGTATTTAAAATCGTAGATTTTTGGTCATCTGAAGAATAGTGATAATTTTAATTGAAGTGATAGCGCCTACTACATCCTCAAGTCGATAAAATTCATTCGAGCGTATCATGACAAGGAGACAAAAATAATGAAGCAATTCTGTTATTTCTGTCCCACGTATCAGATGCCATGTTCAATAGTCTTGATAATTAAAAAAAAGTCCGCTGGGGCCATACTTTCAAAACTCGCTAAATGAACGTAGGTACTTTCGCTCTATTTTCTTGTCTATGATTGGTGGATTTTGCTTGAAAGGCCGTCAATGATTGGCTGATGAACTTAAGATCTCTTAACTTCTTTTGAAAGTATGGGCCCTGGTCAGTAAGGTGATAGCCACGCACTACAACCTCAGTCAGATGGCGGCCTGCAACGGATCGTGGTAACCGAATCTCCAAAGAATCTAATTCCTCAATATTTTGTAATACAACTACCAATATTAGGTACTACTACACGAAGCATATTATCTGGTCAAACGGAATAAATTGTATTACACTTTCGTATAGAATACTGTGTCGAGTTTTAGGCATAAAAAAATCGTTAGATTACCTGGCTAATCGTACGTCAGCGCTGTATTAAAATAAATTAATGCGAACATTACTAGCATTAACAACAATAATTAAACAAATATTCCAATACAACCCGGTGTTGAAATTGAAATTTGCCTATGACGCTAATTGAAAAAAAATTAACTTGCAATTTTCTCTTTATCGTTGTTTATGATATTTTATTAAGATCCAAATCAGCGATGCTATCGTGTATCACATGTGGATTGCGTTGTTCTTCGGTCTACGTCACTCATGATGACCGGTGAACATATCAAAACCAGCCATGCAGCATGTTCCTTATTTGTCTCTATGTTCATTTAAATTTCCATGCATGAACTTGATGCAACACACCCAACGATTAGCTCGTATGTATAGGCAATACACCCAACGATTAGCTCGTATGTACTATAGGCAACATACCCAACGATTAGCTCGGATGTATAGGCAATACACCCAACGATTAGCTCGTATGTATGCAACACACCCAACGATTAGCTCGTATGTAAGCAGCACGCTTCTTGACTTACGTTCCATACATACCACAGAACCTACGTGCTAAGTGGTAACTATTTTAATTTCGTATCGCGCCATATTCTGAAACATTTTGTACGCTTTTGATAGGAAAGTGACGTTTTCTCACGTATAGATAATCATTTTCACTAAGAACGGAAACACAATCATCTGTTTGACATTGAACGATTCTTGATTATTATATAAAAAAATTCATAATATCACTTTTTATTAAATAAATCATCAATATTAGGTAAATTCAAAAGACCATCCTCCAACGACTCCTTGAAGGATGGTTGCAAAAGCCAGGCTCATCGTCATTCAATTCGTGACCTGAATTGAAGTATGTTTTACTTGCTGTCTGAATTTACAACTTACTCGGCCGTTTTATTACCACGTGTACTAACGTAATGCTACATCATTATCAGCGTTGATTAAAAATTTGAAGACTTTTTAACTTTTCGGCTTATCCATTTATTTATTAATCTTAAATTACTACTAATTATATTATTTATAGTTACTGAATGAATTAAGTAGTAGTAAATGAATGAATTAAAGTAGTATTAGTAGTAGTAAATATTAGTAGATATTTACATGGAAATGTAACATAACTTATAATTTTATAATCATCTAAATCTCTAAACCAATTTTACACGATGTTCATATCAATTCAACAGAGCCTCAGCGTAGGTTAATTCATCTCGCAATTCTGAGAGCAAATTTCTATTATTAGTATTATAATTATTAAAGGATTATTAAATTTCGGGCAATAACTTCAAATTTATTATTTATAATTATTTTTTTCCTGTGATTTTTTAATCTCACAATGTCAGCCGCTCATGTATATATCGGCAGAAAACACAGGAAAAATGTGTAATTTAACCTGCGTTGTGATGGTTCGTGTCTAGAATGCCATCAGGAGCGCGACGCGCCTAGAACGCATGTGCGGACGAGGCGTATAGTCTCTTATATTCTATATATTTTAATATATATTATATAGAGTCATATACGCCTGGATGTCTGTTTAACATCAGCCTAGTATATTTACAATAATACTTTAATTGCATAAATTATCGAAATTTTGCAGCATTTCCTCTACAAATAAGTTCAAACAGCGCCCATAAAATATTATGGAATGTCATGAAATATGAATTATTTGAGTGATAAGAGATGATAGTCGCTGAGGTTTAGACGCGGGTCAAATGTCGGTGATTTGCATTATTTTTTCCAGCCAGGAATGCAAATGACTAAATAAACTGTCAGCCGTTGCCTGTGCTGTGCCTTGAGAATTTATAGCTTCTACATCACTCAGGACCATTGCAGAGCTTATTTACCAGTAGTCGCTTGAACGAAATTAGTTTTCACACAGATACTCAAATGTACATTTGAAAGATGACATTTTTAGTAATTTCTGCAATGAAATTTCTCTCGAAATAAGTTTTTGAATAGGCGTTTTGGTTCTACACCCTACCATGATTTTACCGGCCTCGCGATTTTGTGTTACAATTGAACAGTTGCACTATTCTGAACGACTTCCTTTTCACTACCTTTCTTCTGATGGTTATATGGCAGTCATAAGGGCGTGTATTGTTGCCACTAATGGCGGCCATGATAACTTTCAAACCCTAACCGCCACTATTTACCGCACTATTGGCCTTGTATACAGGCGCTACTGGCCGAGTGAAAATCCAATACTTTTGTACATGAGACCAGAAACAATGTAATAAGTCGTGGTTAGTATTTTTAAGTTGTACTGGTCACCACAGTAAATCCGTGTACAAGCACATTTAGTAAGTTACCAAGTATTTCTTTACTTTATTTATGGTATGTTATCCAATAGGCTGTTAAATTGCTGAACTTTAAGACATCGTCCATTAAATGCTTCATCTTCAGGGCGATTGAGCAGAATAATTTTATACATATTCCTGTCATGCGTAGAATGCAAGTCAAAACAGTCTGCAATGTTTGTCCTGAAATACGACTTAAGCAAAGGCTGTGACTCACTTAAAATATTACTTCTTTTAAACGAGTCTCGCCCGAAAACTTTATTTAGGTCCTGCCATTTTCATGTCGCTATAGGTTTTGAGTAAGGCAATGAATCTGAAATGGCATATACGAGTATTATTTAGTGAAATGGCATTAGTGAGATGCTAAAGCAAACTTCATTTAGTTATAGTATTCAATCGCTGATTACGCATTCGAAGTAACTCGCGAGATAGGCTTGTTACCTTTTTTCGACTAACTATTGTTTGTCCCAATGTTCACCTCTTGAATACTGTGCAAACCATTTTTTTACATTCAATTTCAGTCCAATCCTCTTTACTTATCTTAATCTATCAGAATTTATTCCAAGATCTTCTAGCATTTTCACTCCGTAAAAACAGCTAAAAACGTGTAAGCATAAATATAGTAGTGGGACCGAGTGCTATTTTGGGCTGCACTGATGCCTGTAACCCCTCTCATGTGCTTGCTTGCATCTGAAGCGTAATATAATGTTAATGCGTGTAGCACATGCGTAAAATAGAGACTGGTTTAGCTTTAGGTATAGTTATAGAGTGGCGTAAAAATGTATCGTAAAATACATGTTAAATTTAAAGATGTTGCTCGAAAATTTCTGAAGATGCAGAAAACCAGTTTTTGACACCAGTATTTATCAATGTACTGTGATTCACATAGGTGGTTCTTTACTGATCAACTATAACATTACTTACAAAGAGAAAGCAAGTCAAGTAATTTTTTTTATTTAAAGCTTAGTGATTAAACGTAATTCTTATCTTGTAATCGCCATATAATTATAATTAGTCGCTGTCTCTTTGCTTGATTGATTAGCATTTGAATAATACACAATGGTTTAATTTGCACATACAAGCCATCAGTTAATATAGAATAATATTTGCGCAGAATTCGACGAAGTTACTAGCGCAAGGCATCACCGGTCCTGAAGGGCACGAGATGAGCCGGCCTGAGGAAGTCGAGGCAGAGGCCACCAACAGAGCGTGCGTGCTCTCTAACCAGGTACTGATTATCTCGTATGTCAGCAAGACGACAGTATTGTCTTTTCTTGAAAAATTAGTGACTTCCTAACATACGTTAATTAATATAGTAGGCAACATCAATATTAATTATTAAATAATTAATATTAATTAGTTAATAATTAATTAGTCACTTCCTAAAATATGAAGCTTTAACCATTATGGCGTTCATGATTGTACTTAGACCGCTCTGTAGATGCCGTATACTCTAATTCCGCACATAATTATACTTATATGAGTGATTTCGTTTTGAATGACAGCAGTTAGGGTAACAAGTTATCAGGAGTCATAATTAGGCTAGCAGTGTATGAATGATTTAGTCTTCATATTCATGTTTTTAGTTCATAATTTATTATTTTAGGATGGTACATCATTGAGAGGTTCCAGGTGGGTTGTCCGCTGTACGTCGTGCACGTGATGTCCAAAAGCGCTGCCGACGTCCTCAGCGAGAAGCGACGAGCAGGCTACGTCGTCTTCGGGGAGACCATTGCTGCCTCGCTGGGCGCCAGCGGCAGCCACTATCGCCACACCTGCTGGCGACATGCCGCTGCCTTCGTCATGGGGCCTCCGCTGCGCTCTGACCCCACCACTCCCGGCCATCTCATGGACCTTCTCGCCAAGTATGGAATCTTGGAGTAAACATATCATTTATTGGTAATATTTATTGCGAGTTGTAGTTTTCTACAGTAACTTTTATGTTGCTTGCCCTAGTTTACTGTAGCATAGACTACCCTCTTCAGGCGTCGGTCCCTAGTTTTGTATCTTCGGCTCGAGCAGATTCTAGCCTCCCCCACGGAGCTAAGTAAACCTAGCGATAAATCGTCATGTCGTCTAACAGTGAAGACGCAACATGGATCATTCAGCTCACTCAACGAACGGTAAAATAATGCCGTTCTTTATGCATCAAATTTTCACACCAAGTTGGATTGAAACTCATGCTTGTCCATTTCTGTTTGTCTGAACTTATTCATGAATAGTAAAAATTGCTTGTATTTCAAGTCAAGACGCAGTAAAGGTTTACTACTACATATTCAGGTGCAAGTAAAAGTGTTAGTGATTCGTGTTAGTGTAAAAGCGTTAGTGAATTCCTCACAGATAAGTGAACATGTATTTATTGTAGGTTTATGATTCGTTTTGACCAAGTTTTGTTGCGCGTGCAGCGGTGACCTGCAGACAACCGGCACGGACAACTGCACGTTCTCAGGATCCCAGAAAGCTTTAGGGAAAGACGACTTCACGAAGATCCCCTACGGCGTGAACGGCGTCGAGGATCGCATGTCGATCGTGTGGGAGAAGGGCGTCGCGCAGGGCAAGATGGATCCTTGCCGCTTCGTGGCCGTCACTTCTACCAGCGCAGCTAAAATATTCAACATTTATCCCAAAAAGGTGAATTTTGTTACGGGCTGTAAGTCAAACTACCAAATTATATCAGTATCACTTGAGGCTATACTCCATTCCTTTATTGTGTAATCGAAAAAGGAATAGAAAGTTAACCCTTACATACTTCGCAGAATTTAGGAGTGTGTTTTATGTTATAATTGCAGCAATCCATGTGTCAAAAGTGTGCAGAAAATTTTACGCAGTTTTTATTCAGTTCGACATTTCGTTTTGATTTCTGTTTGCAGCAGGCTGCTTTAAAAATCGTTTCCTCTTTTTCCCTTCCATACTCGAGAATCCTCGAATCTAAACATCGTAAGTTCTCACAACAATAATTCTTTTTAGAGCATTTTCGAATAAGGGCCTGATAATTGAGCTTTTTTATTACGGACTCAAGGGTCGCATTGCTGTGGGGAGCGACGCTGACGTGGTCGTGTGGAACCCTCACGCGACACGCGTCATCTCGGCCAAGACGCACCACCAGGCCGTCGACTTCAACATTTTTGAGGTGGGTAGTTCATCACTGTAACATTTTTGAGGTGCGTAGTTCATCACTATAACATTTTTGAGGTGGGTAGTTCATCACTGTAACATTTTTGAGGTGGGTAGTTCATCACTGTAACATTTTTGAGGTGTTTTTTGAGGTGGGTAGTTCATCACTGTAACATTTTTGAGGCGGGTAGTTCATCACTGTAACATTTTTGAGGTGGGTAGTTTATCACTGTAACAATTTTGAGGTGTGTAGTTCATCACTGTAACGTTTTTGAGGTGGGTAGTTCATCACTGTAACATTTTTGAGGTGGGTAGTTCATCACTGTAACATTTTTGAGGTGGGTAGTTTATCACTGTAACATTTTTGAGGTGGGTAGTTCATTCGACCATCCTGCGCCAATGATTTCTACGTACAGGCGGATGATAAAGAATGGTTGCTTCACTGCAATCTTTTCTGAGAAGACAGTCCTCGACCTTCAGGTTCAGTTGCCGAGATCGTCATTCTTACTAAATCGGATTTTAATCCTAACAGCCGAGTGTCTGATGGTTCTCTACCAATTAAGATAATTGCTTCAACTCCGGTCTACTAACCCCAGATATTATTGAAAAGATGTTCCAGTTCGATACGGTAATATAATTTCTTCATGAATTCAGCTGAACGAAACTGAGTAAGAAGTTTATTGTCAGGGCATGGAGGTGCACGGCGTGGCAGAGTGGGTGGTGTGCGGAGGACGTGTGGTGGTGGAGGACGGGGAGGTGAGGGTGGTGCAGGGTTCAGGACGGTACATACCCACGCCCGTCTACTCCCCCACCGTCTACGCCAGGACTCCTGCCAGGGATGCTGCCAAGGCGTGGAAGAAGGCAAGTCGTGCTAGCCTTTGATGATACTTAAGAATGTTGAGTTTTATTGCTGTGCTGTCAAAAGTACACGTAGCGGCGTGATCGGTGGCTTCACCTGAATATCAAGTGCTATGTACATTATTATTAATTTTATAAACTACTTACAATTATATAAAGCCTATTATGCAACATAAAAAATATCCCACAAAATATTGCACAGTGTCATGTTTCCTAAAATACATATAGCGAAAATTAAGCATTGACGTCACTGAAGCTTGAAACGCTGTCATTTATTAGACGACATAATTACTAACTATTTTTGACAGTACAGTTCCTGGATGGTGATGTTAATTCATAACTGTTGATAGTGTCAGGCAAGAGGAGCATAAATAACGGAAACAGGCTCAGTTTAGCTAGGTTTATTGGTAAAAATGTTTACTTAATGAGAGGTGTAGAGAATGTCATGAGTAAATATTAACGACCTGGCACGATGCTTAATGCTATTAACAATCAAACAATGGCTTACACAATACGGCTCGGCGATCATTAGGACGGATTAGTTACAATAAACCCTCTTTTAACTCGTTACGGTTAGTTTTAAGATGCCATGTTTATTCTAAATTCCGGGAACAATATTCTTCAAAATAATAATAACCAAAGGCAAGACAAATAATTATCTAAATTCAAAATCCAACATTTTCTGGTATGCCTTAGGATCTTCCAAACAATTCTTTCGTGCTATTATATTGTTAATAAATAATAAGAGGTATTCATTTACCATCAAATGCAGCTGATGACGGCTGTACAAAAATGTAACAATATGCTATCTGATCACACGAACAATAAACAAACAATTACGCACTTACAAAATTACTGCAGGCACATCATGGCTCAACTGATATTTGGCTTCACTTGAATATCAAGTGTTATGAACATTATTATTAATTTTATAAACTACTTACAATTATGTAAAGCCTATTATGCAACGGAAAAAATATCCCGTAAAATATTGCACAGTGTCATGTCTCATAAAATACATATACCGAAAATTAATCATTGACATCACTGAAAAACTTGCGAAACTTTTTCTAAAATTATAATGTATACAAAAGCTTTATTTTTCGTTACGTATAAGGTGCTGCATCATGAATCTTCAAAAACAGCGACAGTTAAATGAACAGCTTCACTTCACTGGAAGCCGCCAGTACCAGTATAACTATAATAAATAACCAGTATTACAGTGAGTAATCTATTGAGGCGCACCCTTACTGTACAGGTGGAGCGAGAGCCTTACACCGGCCCCGTGTACGTGGCCAATGACGCCTCTAACGACGGGACGATAACGGAGATAGAGCCGCAGTCCGTGAAAGGTAATCAATACATTTATGCAAAGGAATTGTTCATGTTAAGTGGCTACATTCACAGCAGAGTAATTATTGTTCATGTTAAGTGGCTGCATTCACTCGCGATAAAGTCCCTACGATCAATTGTGCTGCTAATATTACTGCTGCTTCTGCGTTTAATACTGTAATTTCATCATTCCAGCGACAGCTTCCTATGCAAGATCTTCAGTTAAAGTCAACCAACCACCTGGAGGGAACGCTTCTGGCAGCTTCTGGTGATCAAGAGGCCGCGACAACGCGACCATGTACCATAGCAGCGCTCATTCAGAGATATTTTAACCTCAAGTGAAAGGGACAATTAATTGTTGACAAATGCCAAGTTTGTCACGAGGCAAAAATTCTAATTATGTAGGAATTTTCCACCGAATCTCATTATACTAATGCTAACGAGTACTTTTTTCATATCCTACGACAAGATAAGTCATCTACATTCGGACACAAGAATCCTACTTGGAAAATTTCCCATTTTTATTTCCCTTTCACGCACGTGGTCTTTAATTAGTAACAATTTTTTCAAAATTCAGAAATCAGATAATAAAAAAAGTATAGTTTTCTAATAATCTCTTTATGATATCTTGTACCTCACAGTTTCGTCGACTTGTTCTTGAGAAAAACGTCCAGGGTTTTGTAGCTCACAGCCCTGCAAAACATAACACTATTAGCAAGCTTACACGCAAGACTTCATTGGGACAGGTGTGAGGTTAGCTTCTCCGACATGGCAGTTCCTTTCACGTCTAATTTTAACAAGTCTCAATAGGTTATCAAGTCTCAATAGGTTATCAAGTCTCAATAGGTTATCAAGTCTCAATAGGTTATCAAGTCTCAATAGGTTATCAAGTCTCCACTTGATATCGACGGTTCTGAAACATGTGCAACATTTACCCAAGTGCTGATTTTACTTAATTTTTGCTTATATGAGGCATGTGAAGAATAAAAATTATCATCTGAATCTGAAATCGTCTAAAAACAATGAAGCTTACCTAGCGAGAGGATGTGGTAATGTGGACGGCAGCAACACCAGTAGCAAGAGAGGTGATGACACGATGACGTACACTCGACATGCTCCGCACCAGACGTACGTCTCTTTAATGCTGTGCGACGAGTCGCCAGTCTGATCACGGCACAACATTAAATGGTTTCACTATTATGATACCTTGAACAATGCTTGCTCAGGTGTATCAGCATTTATCAACTACTGTCAGGATTTTGAGCAGAAGGATAATTTTAAACTTTATAAAAATTGGAAGCTAGGCATTATTTTCCTAATACAGATGACATTTGACTACTTGTCTTTTGAGATAACTGAAAAAATTTAAAATTGTATCTGCCCATGTAAAGTCTACAAGCAAAAATTGTTAAACTCACTGGTGTGGCAGGATGACGGCCAACAGAAGATGAGCGTTGCGCGAACAAAGGAGCGAGGCTTCTGAAAGTGCTTGCCAGCACCGCAGTCTTGAAGGCAGGCGTGATGGTCATACCAACATTAGAGCTTCCGTTGCGGCTCCTCAGCGTTCCAGACAGCGATTTGCCAGGAGATTTTGCTCTCACGGGAGATTTAACTCGGAAACTTGCAGATTCATTAGACTTTCTTCGCCCAGGAGATCTGCTTCTTCTCCCGGCACCAGGAGACTTAGCTCTGGCTGGTCGGGTCATTGTGAGTGGAGGGCTTTGAGCTCGTGAAGGACTAAGAGGTCTACAAGATGGACTAAGCGCCCGTGAGTGGCTGGTAGTGGTTCTGTCAGTGACTGAGGTGATGGTGGCCTCAGCGGTCTGGTATGTGTGAACAGCCTGACCGCTGCCTGCAGCACTGGAACGTAGCGTGCTTGTGTGGGAAGGAGGTGGTGCAGGAGACGAAGGTTTCTTGGATTTAGACGATGATGCATCGCTGGTTGCATCGTTAGCAGCAGGAGGGGTGATGTCCGTCCTGCTGCGGCCCGAGTTTCCTAAATGCACGCAAGACACGCACCTCTTGCTCTCCTGGTTGATCACCAGCAGCCTGCACATCAGAAGGCTCCTCGATGCACTCTTTATTCAAGATGGAAAGTAATATATGATGGAATTTTGCACTAAGCTCGCCGATAACTGAAAATTTATAATAACTAAAAAATTTCTCAGTTCTAGTTAGGAACTGATGCATTCCCTCAAAAAAAGGAACCCTAAAAAAATTATTAATTAGGAACTGATGCATTTAGAATCGTTTAATCTAAAAAAAGAATACTTGAACCAATTCAAGCGGTACAATTGATTTCATGCTAATTCGCTAATACCGGTATGTATGTTTCATTTTTAGCTAATAGGAATTATCCGGAATAAATTAAGATAGACTAGGTAAATGGCGCGTGGGATGAGCTCAGGTCACATCAAGTAAAAACCTCTAAATGATGGAATCATTGGAATTATCAACCTTAATATTAAACCATATAGGTGAAATTTCAGTAATAATATCAGAACATCAGTATAATATCAGTAATCTGACTAAGAAAAGTTGAAGACTAGAAATTTCTTTTTATCCATGATACCGTACTTAGAATAATAAGATAGGCTGTAAAAAAAGTACATCGAAGCTAAAAGTTGGGCAAGACTATCCAATGGGGCTCTGAGTACTTTCCGACTTTCATGATCAACTTCAAAATCTGACTGGAATACGTTTCAACATTGAGAAATGTTAAAAATTACTTCGATGGCTACATCATTGCAAGCTTACTTGATGGCAAGAAATGACGTGGGACGTTTTAAGCAATGTAACTGCTAAAGTATATTTGATTACACATTATGCTGCTTAAGCATATGTAATTACACATTACACTGCTAAAGTATATTTAATTACTACACATAAACAACTATGCGTATTAGTCTGACCCCAAGACGGCCTTATCAAGAGTCTGCTTGACAGCTGCAGTGATGTTGTAGGGCTGCGTGGCAGCCAGCGTCTCTATGCCAGCATAATACGGACTCCAGAAGAGGGCAGCAGAGCGCAGCACGTGAGCAAGAGATGGCGTGGGGCCCGCCAGCGATGCGCACCACACCATGCTCGTCAACTTCACTCCCAGTAGACGGAAAGGAACCTGGCCACGGTGAACTTGTGTTAATAATAATACTATTCAACTAGAAAAATCACGTTTAGTGGCTCAAATCTGAATTTTAAAGCTCTGAACTTACAGCATCTATGCACAGAGAAAACTGAACCGGAACTATTCACCCATTCAAGGATAATGGCAAAGTACACCACAAGGATCTGTAGGATATACAAAATGTTTTACACAATGTAAACATGCAACTAATAATACGAATTTCCGGCATGATGAGAAACATGTTCCCTATACCTTAGGACTTTTATTGGGGAGATAGACAGGCACATCTCTGGCAGTGTTGGGAGCGGCCGTGGTGAGCAGCAGCAACGGCAGCAGTACGAGCTCTGAGCTCGAGAGGGACCAATAGGATCTAGAGCCCGCCAGCACCCGGCCACAGCTGCTCAGTAGACATGCGTAGCTGCTGCTGCACTCCACTTCACTCCATTTCTGCACCTCGTTCTGTTAGAGTAAAGCTTCAATTTCCAGTATTAGAACTTAAAAATTCTATGATCGGTAAATAACTGAATGAACTAAGAAAAATAATAATAAATTATGAGGTGAAATGGTATTTCTTACACAAAATTTGGTCAAATTGTTATGCAAAAAATAAAACCACTGCACAAGTGGATATGTTCTATTACACATGAAACCTAAATGCTTCAGCAAACTAATAAAAAGTTTCTTAACCATATATTCCTTGATGAGAGGAAGGATTTACCTGGAGATTATAATTGTCAGGAGGTAGGACGGTGTCAGCACACAAGACGAGGTGCGAGAATAGAGGTCCAGGCCCCATGCTCTGGGCGCCTCTCCAGTTGGTTTCTGATATACACCGCTCCAGCAGCACGTCCAGAAGTGGGTTGCACACCTGCAACATTACTGTACTTAACTTTGGTCTATAGATTTCAAAATTTTCACCCAAGTGCATTGGATTAAAATTAAGCAATCAAGTTTCTCAGAAAGACTACCATCAAAAGTTATTTTACATCTTAAAAACAATATTATGTAATCATTTCATGTCACAGTTCTTTATTGATAAAAGTAAAATTAAAAGCTGAACTTGATACTTGGTAGACCTGGTAGAATGAGAATGGTGATCATTCAATGAGCCTCACAAATCAAGATAAAAATAAATCATCTTATTACAAATACAAGAAAGATTTTAGTGAAATATCAACAATTAAAGATCTATAAATAAGTCCATGCTGCAAAGGAATGAGATTACTACTTCTATTTCATCAACATCATAGCTTGCTGACAAGGGAACCACCTTCATATCTTTCTTGAGCCTCTCAATACTGGTAATGTTGACAAGAGCATCAATGCTCAGCAGCAGCACAAGGGAGTCAAAGAGTAGGTCCAAGAAACGTTCATCTGGCCTTCCTCCCAGGAGGCACTGAGACTGAAGAATAGTTTTGCTGGTCCTTTTTTCTGGTGCAATGCTGGAAGTTTCTTCTCCATGAAGAAGCATCAGGCGAATGCTATAAGGAAAAAATTTTAAACCATTAAAATTGATGAAACAATAATTGAAATTATTGATATAGCTTGTTTTCTTGTTCTTAAAAACTTATTCTGAAAGTATTAAAAAATTCTTATGTACAAGTTTCAGGTTTCTGGTTCTTGTTCATAAATAAGCACAAGCTTTCACACATATATATACAGATTAGGTTAAAATACAAAGAAACAACTGTGTTAGACTAATGATAAACTTGTAGAGCAAATGAAGCCAACCTGTCATGGTAGGTTTTCCACGTGATGGCTGAGAAAGGTGTTTTTGTTTCAAGAATTTGAGTTCCTTGAGACTCCCCAAACATGTAGACTCCATTGAGGGAACCAACAACATTAAAAGGTGGCTGAAAAAAATTGTAAGGTTTTTTTCATTTAATTTCCACTCAGTTGCCTGAATTTGGAGGCCAAGTATTTAAATTCTCATAAAAATTATGAAATAAAACTAGTAGCATAATAGAGTATGATGGAAAATAATTTCCTAGTATATAACAAGTATTACAAATTTGTGCTAAAGAAACATCATTCATAAGTCACTTAAACAAGGAAAATTAGGTTATAGGACATAAAGAGTTACTTACAGGCTTGCCAGCACCCCGATGCCGAATGATCAAAGGCACACCGCTTGATGCAGCAATGCACACAAGCGTGATGGAACTCATGGTAATAATCACATATTAAAAACTAAGAGCAGAAATACTTTTAAGTATTTTTTTCATTCAAAGTCAACCAACTTTGAGCTCATCAGGGACAATATTTTAGGAGTTTACATTGACTTGCTAATTGAAGAAAGTAGGAGGGAAGTTTAATTCCTCTGGTAATGGATATAAGTAATAATGAAAATGGATCTTTACGAGGGTTGGCGATTTTTTTGATTTTTTTTAAAAAATCAAAAATCAATGATTTTTTATATTTTTTCATGATTTTTTTGATTTATTTGATTTTTTTATTTTTTCATCTTTTTTGTCTTTTTTGAGGTGTTATTTTTTATGTTGCAATTAGCCTACTAACAATGAAAAAAATCGGTTTTCCGATGCCGACCGCCAAAAATGGATTTCAGATTCGTAATCTACACCCCAAAAAACATATAATTAAAAAAAAAAACACCCTTTTTTTTGGATGTAGTTAATCTGCAATAATACCAAACAAACAAACAAATAGAAATTTAAAAGCAAAGAAAACTCCATAAAAGTTCAATATATCTATATTGAAAACATTTCAGAGACCAGCTACAAGGAAACAAATACTATTGGCAGTAATTATAATTTGTATTGCAAGTTGCAACCATAGCTCAGTCATTGAATGAAAGAAAGTAGAGTATGGCCTATGGGCAATTTGGGCATCAGTGCATGTAGGATTAGGTCGGATATAGGTCCTACTGATATAGTAGGGCTAGGGCATGTTTTCTTTTTTTTTTTTTTTTTGAGGTAGGTACTGGCGTACTGCGTACTGATACTCACTCTCAGTAGTAGTGTGTTAGTACTAGTACTACTGTACTAGTACTGAACTGAAGTCAGTGAACACTGAACAGTGAACTAAGTTAAATTAGTTAATAAATTCCTTAAAAAAAGGGACAAGTTAATAAATTTCTTGACCTCAAAACACTGTATATATCAACTTAACTTAGTTAACTATAGTCTATGACTCTATAGGGTTTGCCCGGTTTGGTAAATAGTAAATTAAATACGAGTTCAATTCGTTGGTTCAAGTCTTAATTATCTTTCATTCAGTATTGTTTCTACTTTCTATCTCTGCAACTGCAAGAATGAGGTAATAGGTATAACCGTATAAGGCAATAAAGGCATTGTCTCTCACTCTCGAGGTCGACGGCCGTAACTTGTTCACTGTCTAACTGTCTGTCTTGTCAGAAATCTCTCACGACACACGACTCTGGACTCACGAGGTCAGAAGGCAAATGATTGCGAGGTCCAGACTTGTGCGCTTCGCGATCTACAATAGGTATAGCTAGGTAGACGACCAGTTTTCGTGAGCCGTGAGGTGAGTAGCAATCGCTCGCATAATGATAAGTGCTGGACTCATCTGGGATTCTGGGGCAATTATCGCCGCACATGAACTCACGCAAACGATACTGACAAGTGAGAACTGACAGTACGACACTACCGACTACGGAGCAGATTGTTGCGTTACGTTGCTGCGGAGCTGATTCACGTTTTGGCTTCAAATTGGAAGTACTTCAAAAATTGTTGGTTTTGCCAATTTTGCCATTTTTAGTTCATGCAAAAGATCCCGAAACTTTTTATTGATACAAAAAGTGGAATACTAAATCGACATTAGAAGTATATTGTTTTCTTACTGGACTGCTTAAAGCCATAGCACCGCAAATTCACTGCCTCTGTCTAAGCCAAACTTGTCTTCATGTATGTACAATCTCAACATGGCCTAACCTTACCTCCAGTCTCCACCATGCTACAGTCAACGGGCTGTCGCATTGGAAACTGCAATGTTTCTCGGTGTCTGGTTCTGGGTGTTGAAACATGAAGATGGGACCTATAACCTATCTTTCCCTGCTGTAATTTTAAAATTTGTTAGGTCATCTGTGTAAATATTTTTGCTTTACAACTATTTTTATATATAAGACTAGCACATATTAAATGATTGTGTAAAAGCAGCATCACTTATGTTAGGTATCATAACATTCATACTCTAGATCACATCTGCCGCCTACGGCCGAGTCAACCGTACATTTGTCCGAGACGTGCCAGTCAACCCCAGTGCTCAACATGCCGGTGCCGGCTCACTCTTGATCAGCTATGATTTTGTGAATATCAGATACCAGAGGCGACAGCTGAGAGTAGCCAATGAAGAGCTTTTCATTGGCTGTTCTCCTCAGCTATCGCCTCATCGCCGCCAGCTGAAGTCTGCTTACACTCGCCTCTCGTTACATTCTTCCTACCCTCACTCACAGCCCCTAAGTTTCCCGCTGACCTCCAGTATCTCCAGACCATCGACCATCGACATGTTTAACAACCTCTAATGCATCCTGAAGACTGCTAAATGGAGGTGTCTATATTTCAACCGGTGACATGCCTCATCTTAACTAATTTTTGGATTTCTTTCGTTAACATAACATAACATAGTGATGTCGGCGCTGAAGTGTAGGCCTGATGTGGCCTGTCGCCGATTCTTTTCCTTTTCGTGCCTTGTTCACAGAAGATCTAATATCGTGTTATTTGCCCGGATTGTCAAATGCTTTGGCAAAATCGAGGTACAATGCATCCACTGGCTCCCTTTCGTCCAGCAGGCGAGTCCAATCGTTCAACGTAGATAATAAGTTAGTGGTGCAGGATCTGCCGGCGTTGTGCTCCATTCATTGGAACTGTGATAGATGAGATCTAGGAACAATGCAAGAGTGTCTTTGTCAGTTATCCTTTCTGCCATACCTTAAGTCCGCGTGTTAACCTGCTCATTTATCAACTCGATTAATGTGTTCTCCAATAACCACATTTAGATAAGCAGCCACCTCACGTCACGCGATTGCTACATTGCCGCTTCGCCACTTAACTCCACCCAAACGCCTTACCCTTATTGCCTTATGGATGTCACTCAGCTCTGAGCTCTCAGCTGAAGAGCCTGTAGGCTGAAGCTGGATAAGTTGGCAGCTTTGGCTCTTCTGCACATTGCACAACCCACACAAGGTATCCATGAACGACATGACCAATTAACCAATTTCATAGTTTTTTTGAACACTTTAGACTAATGAGTTTAGCACAATCCTGTTTCATCCAGACCGTCCAGAGGAAAGCAAAAGGACAAACTACAGGACAAATATCAAATGGTGTTGGTTGAAGAAGTAAAGAGTGTTGAAACTTAGACACTTTTTCTCCAATTTTTTAGTAGTAAAGATCCATTTTCATCATTACTCATATCCATTACCAGAGGAATTGAACTTCCCTACTACTTTCTTCAATTAACAAATCTATGTAAACTCCTAAAAATTTGTCCCTGATGAGCTCAAAGTTGACTTTGAATGAAATAACTAATAAACTGATAAATTGATAAAAAAAAAATAAACTAATAATCTAATAAACTAATAAACTGATAAACTGTTTAACTAATAAACTGATAAACTAATAAACTAATAAACCAATAAAGTAATAAACTAATAAACTAACAAACTAATAAACTAGTGAACTAATAAACTAACAAACTAATAAACTAATAGACTTATAAACTAATAAACTAGTAATAAAATAGTAAACTAATGAAATAATATAATAAACTAATAAACTTATAAACTGATAAACTAATAACCTAATAAACTTATAAACTAATTAATTAATAAATTAATAAACTAATAAACAGTTAACAGTTTACAGTTAACAGCTAACAGGTAACAGTTAACAGTTATCAGTCAACAGTTAACAGTAAACAATAACAGTTAACAGTAAGCAGTTAACAGTGTTAACAGTAAACAGTTAACAGTAAACAGTTAACAGTGTTAACAGTTAACAGTTACCAGTTAATAGTTAACAGTTAACAGTTATCAGTTAACAGTTAGCAGTTAACTGATAACAGTTAATACGTTTGAAACTTCAGTGGTGAACTGGAAAGCTGTGTTTTCACTATCGATTCTTTGTAACTAGCTTTTTAATAAGTTCGTGGCCAGCGTGCAACCTTAGGCGGCCATCCGTTGAAGCTAAGGTAGTGAACGTCCGGTCACACCAGTGTTGACAGTTAAAAGGTAACAGTGTTAAAAAAAACAATATTCACAATGATGTCAGCAAAATGTATGGGTGAAATGTAAACAGGGTCGATTTTTCTCAAATCGTAGCCGAATTGATCTGTTGCACTACAGACATGGGGAAATTTACATTAAATATTTGTACACACTTGGAAAAAATCCCGTATAGTAGTTATCATTTTCAAAAACTTCTAATGGATATTTAACGAATGATTCTCTTAAGTAGATATTGAATATCAGGATTCATGTCGAATTTCACATCATCATGGTCAACGTACACAGGAATATACTTTTTCTTCTTTAAACCTCTTCAGGCCAAATTTATCACCGTTCAGAATCTGACTTGAAAACGTTCCGATGAATGAGAATGGTAGAGGTGGTAACGTACGAAAATTGTTATTAAAATATTAGAAGCGTGCGTTAAAAACACATCAAACGCTCTTAAACATTTGCTCCTAAAAAACGATTTTTATTAGTCGAGTAAAGCCTAAATTAAAGAGTAAATTAAGCTCAATATGCGGATTGCTCATTAGTAATGAACTAAAAGATCGTCTGTCATCTCATAGACTGGCTTGCCAACGGCGCATCGCCCATCGATATGACTTGTTATGTTACCCATCAACCAATAAGATGTATTCTCCGGAATTATTTGTTATATTCTCAGTAATTGCTGACATAACCCATCAGGTGTATCAATTTAGTTAAAAAATGTCCGCGTTATTATATGTAAGCGAAACGTTACTATGTGGTTGCAAATGGCGTAGTCTCCCTGGTAAAGCACCCTTCTCACCGTGCAGCTCAAGAAGACTTAATATGTTTCACTGATTCCGCGCCGCAACACGTGCATGAGCTGGAAAACGATATGATCCCGTGGAAACATCATACGGAATTCTCATTCAAATTTTATCGTTTACTTATTCATTGTTTGTTTTACTTATTAATTGTTTGTATTACCAAGCGTGTACAAATATTTGATGTAAATTTCCTCATATCTGGAGTGCAACAAATCAATTCGGCTCCGATTTAAAAAAGTATTGCACTACTGTTCCCATTTCACCCAAACATTTCGTCCACATCATTGTGAATATTGCCTCCTTTTACTTTCTTTTTCTATCCACTTTGTACGCATGCATCGGTCTTGTTCAACCTTTTACATTGCATGTGCATTAGTGCCTGGTGATAACTTATTTAGTTACTCCTCGAAAAAGTGATGGATGAAATTCATAAGGAAGTGTTCAGTATTTATGGTTATTCGTACGCATCACTGCAATCGCGTAACGTAGATCTGGTTTTTGAATATTTCTATATTTTTGAACGCTGGCTAAGAGATTGCAATTGATTGCATCTCGAAGCGGCGTATCTATGAAGTAAACTCAAGTATTTTTATGAATTTAATCAATATGTTCATTCTGCAGGCAAAAGACTTGTAACGCAAATCACACTTCACTTTCACTCGAAAACTGCCCAAATTTCATAAGAAAAGTAAACGTATATATGTTTCAGATTATTTATTTGCATTGAATTAAATTCTCGACAAACTAACTAAACGCTCCGTTCTTTGGAAATTGAAATATGCCCCATAAGATGACCTAAAAATTTTGAAATCCATTGTACAGAAGAATTACCCTCAATATGATGTGTAGTATTGGAATAATTATTCCATGAAAAAACTAATTTTAGAAGTATTGATAGTGAAGTTCCACCTCGAAATCGTGTAAATGAAATTGAGATCTATTCCATCGATCGCACATGACCCGCACATGTTTCCTGTACAATCACCATGCCATTTATTTCAATTAATTTATACAATGGTTATGCCTATTATTTGAGGGCTGTAATCAGTGAGATTTAGTCCCTTCAAATGTCTGCAAATTTGTTTGGCGCTATAAAAAGAGCTAGAAATTGCTGTTGAATACAAATTTTCTAGAAACTTGTTAAAAAGTTAATTCGAGCTGTAACTAAACTAAATATATATAAAAAAAAACTTGAATGAGAATACATACGAGTTAATCGTCTAAGAAAAAATCAATAACGACCATGTCTCGGATGATAACGAAAAATTATAGGATTGAATGATTTAATATCAGACAATTATTTCAATGGGTGAACCCTATAATTTTATACATCGGCGATGTTGTCTCTCAACCCTGACATTCTAGGATGCTTGAAATGCACTAATTACGATAAATTAAATCAGTTCTGATAGCATATTTCAGGTAAAGAAGTCGGCAAATGATGAACATATTAGCGATGATGGACAGGACTGTCCACCATTCCATCAAGCACATCGGGCTGCCAGCATCTCTCTGACCACCAATCGGTGAACGAGCCATCATCACCAAACCCTGCAGCGTGCAAACTTTCGTCTCTGTCTGCGTCTCTGTCTGCGTACTGACGCCGTCTCTGTCTGCGTACCGACGCCGTCTATGTCTGCGTACTGACGCCGTCTCTGTCTGCGTCTCTGTCTGCCTACCGACGCCGTCTCTGTCTGCGTACCAACGCCGTCTCTGTCTGCGTCTCTGTCTCTGTCTGCGTCTCTGTCTGCCTACCGACGCCGTCTCTGTCTGCGTACCGACGCCGTCTCCGTCTGCGTACTGACGCCGTCTCTGTCTGCGTCTCTGTCTCTGTCTGCGTCTCTGTCTGCCTACCGACGCCGTCTCTGTCTGCGTACCGACGCCGTCTCTACGAAAAGGAAAAGAATCGGCGACAGGCCACATCAGGCCTACACTTCAGCGCCGACATCACTATGTTATGTTATGTTATGTTAAGTGTCTTCACGCAGCTTCGAGATCTCGCCAAGCCAAGCCTCGTCTCCACAACCGGCCTCATCTTCAAATTCCATCGGGATCATCACCTTCGAGCAGGTCACGTGAGCTTAACAAAAGTAAATTCATATTATCAATTGCTGTTGTGTTTATTTTAACCCGACCAATTTTATCTTGCCGCACCTATAGTTTCTATCTGATTTTAGTGAATTTTACAAGTTGCCTTGGACTTCAAATCCACTGATTCATTGGAGTCAAACGTAGTAAATAGGGGCAAAGTCTCCACAACCTGACGCGATACGTTTGCGGTCCTTCGCTCTCAAGGACGCTTCGGTGTCCTTGTCCCCTTTGAATACTGATGCTAATTGTGTAATTTATTCTTTACATTATAAAAGTTGAAGAATCACCTCATTGTTAACAATCGCACTGGTCTTGATCAGCTCTGATATAGAGTCATATAATTAAATGTGGTCGGAACTGATCCACAAATCTTCGCACCTATAGTATGTTGCTTAGATACTTTTGAATATTTTAATTTAATTTCCATTATGCGATTATTATCTTATTTGCTGAAAAATAGACCAATATTACGTATTTTGGATTTCTTTTGCACGACCTATTCTATTTTTCTGCATCGTTCAATTTTTAGCATGCGGGTTCAGCTTTTGAAAATCAAATGGCAACCCCAGTGAGTTTTAGCAAGTGATATTGCAAGCAAATGATCCATCGTCTCTGTTAACAGTACGAATAACTTGACCTCCGTCAAAATAACCGAGACATGACCGCCTTAATCCTTTCACTTAATAATAATAATAACAATAATAATAATAGCGGTTTCAGCGTTTATTAGGCCGTAGGCCTGTCGCCGATTCTTAACATCGCAGAATGTTCACAGCATTTTGCGGTCTCGAACTCGCAACTCACTGCTACAATTCTGCTGTGCTTAACCGCCCGNCAGCGAGGCGTCTGAAGGTAGCGAGGCGTCCTGAGGACAGCGAGGCGTCCTGAGGGTAGCGAGGCGTCCTGATGGAAGCGAGGCGTCTGAGGGCAGCGAGGCATCTGAGGGCAGCGAGGCGTCCTGAGGGCAGCGAGGCGTCTGAGGGCAGCGAGGCGTCTGAGGGCAGCGAGGCGATGAAAGAAACGATGGGCAGCAGAATTATTTACGTAGCCACAGTTGGCTTCCATGCAGGTAGCGAACAAAGAGTTACTTGCAGTAAATTCATAGCTGGAAATTCTCGGAGTCAATTTAATTTATGGGTTGTATTATGCTGCAATAGTATTAATGCATCATATTCCTGTAGCATTGCAATAATATTAACGCATCATATGCCTGCAGTATTGCAATACCTAGTATAAACGCATCGGCTTCCTGCAGTGTCGAGTCGGCGAAGAAAATAGTCAACTAATACATGAAATTTCACAACTATAAAAATTATTAATCTTAAAGATAGTTATAAGGTTGTTGAAACGAAAATCGTAGCATGCTCAGAAGATGATAAAATTGTAAAATGAGATTTTTTACGATTATTCTATTGTATATCATCATTAATACACATTACATTAGAAAATCGCTCATCTATATAGAAAATAAATAGTCCACGCCAACTGTTATGCTATAAAAAACAATACGAGTTTAAATTATTGTTAAAGTATACATTCAAGTAATGTGAGTCTTAAAGATAACATTTTCGGTGCAATGTAGCTTCGAATTTATGGAATAGGTGTGATCTTGTGAACGATGAAACCATGGGTGTGAACCATGGGTGTGAACCATGGTGTGAACAGCTGGCTATTTTTCTTACCCCAAACTTACTTTCGTCCCCAATTGGAATAAACATGAAGTAGTTCAATTAAGTTTATTGACGATCGCAATTTTTTTGTATTTATCTCGACAAAATTTCAAATACTGTGATAGATAACATAAATTCTAATCAAATTCTAGTTATACATCTGCATTGTCATTTCGTGTAATAGAAAAATTTTAAAACGTCAAAGCGCATAATCGAAAATGGTCAATATAAATCTCGAATATACATGATCTATAATAAATTCCTAATTTTTCAAATTACCAATTACAACTGATAATTTTTATATCCATTGGAAATTTAGGGTACTGTTATACGAGATGTTAACATAGGGTAAAGGAAAACGCTGATCGAGCCTCATTCGCGAGCTTTGTTGTCGAGCAGGATAAAGTCCTCTTGATCTGCTCTTTTTCACCGTCAAAATGCCTACGGCGTCAATTAAAACTGAAACCAATGGGGTTATAGAATCGAATGATCCTTTAGACAGAATTCAAAATGAATTGGCTGTTCGATTGAAAGACCTGGAACAGAAAAAAGTAAGTACCTTCAACACGTGCATGTTATGATGTGCATTATTGTTTACACGCCAATGGCAAATGAATCAACTCGCCGCGCCACAAAGAAAAGCTTTAAAGTTAGGTATCTGCTGTTCAGAGTAGGAAACCATACATTTGAAAGATCTCCTCAGTCACTTGGCAAAGAAGTAAGTTAATCATTTATGAGGTTATTTCACTTAAAAAAATTCTGCCAATGGCTGGGGCTGGCAGTGTGGAATTCTAGAGGGATATTAAATTGACCAGTACACATAGCATATTGGAAAGCAGGACCTGAAAGATTGGAAAGTCCAGGAACTTTCCACTTCCAGTTCATTTTATTATATACATTATAGTGATTATACATATCCTATCACTTTTCAACTGTGATTAACAGTTAACAGTGTTAACAGTTAACAGTTACCAGTTAATAGTTAACAGTTAACAGTTATCAGTTAACAGTTAGCAGTTAACTGATAACAGTTAACAGTGTTAACAGTTAACAGTTAACAGTGTTAACAGTTGACAGTTAACAATTAACAGTTAACAGTGTTAACAGTTGACAATTAACAGTTAACAGTTAGCAGTTAACAGTTAGCAGTTAACAGATAACAGTTAACAGTGTTAACTGTTAACAGTTAATAATTAACAGTTAACAGTTAACATTGTTAACAATTAACAGTGTTTACAGTTAACATTGTTTACAATTAACAGTGTTTACAGTTAACAGTGTTAACAGTTGGCAGTTAACAGTTAACAGAGAACAGTTAACAATGTTAATAGTTGACAGTTAACAGTTAACAACAAAGGGGAGCGTCTGGTCAAAATTTTTGTAATTTGGCTTTTCCGGTTTTTAATCTCGTCTTAAAGCTGACATTCTGCTCTATTCAACGGTACCAAAATCATTCCGGTAAGTTGATTTATGCGTTCACGACAGATCGCGAAAGGGTGGGGGGTGGTGGAGTTCTTTCACATTTAGGATAGGCGAAAATTCCCGGTTGCATACTTAAATAGCTAGTCCACATAGCTAGTCCACATACGATGTGCTTCAGTTACCCGCCTGAAGTTGTATGGGAGGGTTAATTGCGTGTCGTCGTTCACACCATCCTTGACAGAAATTGAGCTCCAGTATCGCCTAGTCTTGCATTCTTGCCACCTTGAACACTTATTTCGAGGCGCCCGGGACTTTGTCAGGCTCTACTGAACAATTAACTTATTGTCACTGCAAACCTATCTCCTCCTACAGTTTTGAAGCTACAGCAATGAGACATATACCATTCGATTCGCAATTGAATTATCTAGAGATTCGTCGTAGCTTTTTTCCAATTTCGTTATAATTTTGAAAATATTTTGAAAAAGGGGGGTAGAAAAAGGAGGAAATGAAAAAAATTTCGAAAATTTTGCGAAAAATACTCCCCCATCCTCGAAATTCGAAAAAAGCTACGACGAATCGATAGATATGGTCCTTACGCATCGAATGATATGCGTCTCGATGTTGTAGCTTCGAAATCCTAGGAGGAGATAGCTTTCTACGGTACCCCTTTTTCCGTTTTCTAAGAATTTCACGTTTTCTTTATTTTTTTTCGAAAAATTCACACGAACAAAAAAGTCTTAGAATTCTGTTTTACATATGAGTACCAAGTTTCAAAACGATCAGTTTGTAAACAAAAAAGTTTGTCCAGCACCCAGACGCTCCCCTTAACAGATAACAGTTAACAGTCAACAGTTAACAGTTAACAGTTAACAGTGTTAACAGTTAACAGTTAATAATTAACAGTTAACAGTTAACATTGTTAACAGTTAACATTGTTAACAGTTAACAGTTAACATTGTTAACAGTTAACAATTAACAGTGTTTACAGTCAACAGTTAACATTTAACAGTTAACAATGTTAACAGTTAACAGTTGACTGTTAACAGTTAACAGTGTTAATAGTTAACAGTTAACAGTGTTAACAGGTACCAGTGTGAACGAATGAGAATCGTTCACGGTCTTTTTAGGCCTTTTTACCAATTTCAACTTTATTTGAGCTAGGTAATATATTATTCTACATGTATGGGTTTTTTAGCGAGGCCGGTTAAGTAGCTTAGACTTCCGACCCTTTCAGGGAAGATTGGTTTCAGAGAGAGGTGACGAGGGCGATTCCTTTTATATGAGACGGTAGTTGTGTCCTGCTAGCCGATCGGTTAAGTTGCTGCTCTGACCTTCCTAGTGGTAGCTAGTAACTGCCGATCTGGCATGTAGCTTTTTGTCTAGCAGTGAGCCCTCTCCCTGACTGAGCTGATTAATTATTTGCCATGTGTCTGTGCTACTCGTTACTGTGACCTGAAATGTAGAGTGCCCATTTTAAAGTGCTTATTGGAATAAACGTTTGAAACTTCAGTGGTGAACTGGAAAGCTGTGTTTTCACTATCGATTCTTTGTAACTAGCTTTTTAATAAGTTCGTGGCCAGCGTGCAACCTTAGGCGGCCATCCGTTGAAGCTAAGGTAGTGAACGTCCGGTCACAACT